TCAACATCAGATTCAACAAACATCTGATTCAACAAACAACATCAACAAACATCTGATTCAACAAACATCAACATCAGATTCAACAAACATCTGATTCAACAAACATCTGATTCAACAAAAATCTGATTTAACATCAACATCTGATTCAACAAAAATCTGATTCAACATCAACATCTGATTCAACATCAACATCTGATTCAACATCAACATCTGATTCAACAAACAACATCAACATCTGATTCAACAAAAATCTGATTTAACATCATTTTACATCCTTCAGATCTTTAGATCTGTTTACAACCTTTGACTGCTCCTTTCACATTTTGTTCTGCTTCAGCTTCTTTCAGCTGCCTTGTGCAACTTTGAACTTTTTTCAGCTACTTTCAGCTGTTTTGTGATCCTTTCAGATTATTTATGCTAACATGTTTGTGCTTCTTATCTTTCTGCTAATTTCAGCTTGTTATGCTCCTTTCAGCTTATTTCTGCAAGTTTCAGCTTTTTCTGTTATTTCAGCTACTATTTAGCTGTTTATGCTAATTTGAGCTTTTTCAGCAAATTCCACGTTTTTTGTACTAATTTTAGCTTTTGTGCTCTCTTCACTTCTGGCAATTTAAGCTTCTTTCTGCTTTTTTAGCTACTTTTCAGCTGCTATTTATGCTAATTTCAGCTTTTTCCAGATAATTTACATTTTTTTTGTGCATTTCTGATTCTTTCAGCCTCATTGGGCAAACATGTGCTCTGCTTTCTTCTGCTAATTTAGGCTTGTTCTTCCATTTCTATTTCAGTTTAAGCTAATTTCAGCTGTTTCTCAGCAAGTTCTTCTGCAGTTAATTCACACTGTATTTCCGCAGGAAATGCAATTTATCTAGTTTAAAAGACAAAGAGCACATTAGTTCATCCTGCAGCTCCTCGTGTCTTTTTTTCTGAGGAGGGAAAAGATGATTTCACTGAATGATGAATGAAACTGAAATATTAAAGAATCGGTTCCCCAAGAAGAATCAGAATAAAATCACTTGTGGAACTTTGTTCAGACAAACAGCAGCAGGGGGAGTGTTTGAGACGGGAGGGGGGAGGCGGTCCCAGCAGCCTCCTGTCTCTGTCCCACAGCAGAGCAGGCTGTCCTGGAGACAGGACTCGCGCGCAGGGCTTGGAGACCCGCCGGGGAGGACCGAGGACCCGGCAGGCAGTCCGGATCTCTGAGGGACGTTGTTCAGGATCAGACCGCAGCAGGTCCAGTCTCAAGAACCTGTTCGGCACCGACAGGACTTCAGTTCGGTCTTTTGGCTCCATGTCGATCCAGAACTTCAAACTAAAACCAGCAGCTTGTATTTGCTGAACTCGGAGGATTTATTGAAAAGTTTCTTCCTGAAGTTGATCCAGAGATGGAGCCGGAGGAGGGGAAGGTCTCGGTGTGGGTCTGCCGGGAGGAGAAGCTGGTCTCCGGGCTGACGAGACGAACCACCTGCGCTGATGTGGTGCAGGTCCTGCTGGAGGACCAGAACCTGCAGCAGGGCGACTCGGCAGCGATGCTGTCCGGATCCCCGCAGTCCTACTGCGTGGTGGAGAAGTGGCGCGGCTTCGAGAGGATTTTACCCAACAAGACCAAGATCCTGCGGCTGTGGGGGGCCTGGGGGGACGAGCAGCGCAACGTGCGCTTCGTCCTAGTGAAGAACGAGGCGTCGCTGCCCAACAACGGACCCCGCAGCGCCGAGGCGCGCGTGGTCCAGAGCCGGGAGAGCGGCGGTCCTGCCGGGCTGCTCCAGGGCACCGCGAGGAGCTGCTGGACCCCCGCGCCCCCCCTGTCCCAGGACAAACAGAGGCGCATCGTGAGGAAGGCGTTCAGGAAGCTGGACAAAATAAACAGGAAGAAGGAGCAGGTGGTCCCCAAGGATACGGGCTCCGTGGAGAAGATGGAGACGCTGGTCCATCTGGTGATCTCCCAGGACCACACGATCCGGCAGCAGGTCCAGAGGATCAAGGAGCTGGACCGGGAGATCGAGCGCTACGAGGCCAAGGTACACTTGGACCGGATCCAGAGGCACGGGGTGAACTACGTGCAGGACACATACATGGTGGACTCCTCTGCTCCCGACCCGAAGCTCAACGCGGAGCGGCAGGACGCGCGCTGCGCCGAGGAGGCCATCGCGCAGTTCGAGGAGTACGCGCGCCGCTGCGAGGAGGTGGTCAGGCTGCAGGAGGAGCTGACGGAGCGCGAGGGGCTCTTGGAGAGCATCGCCGGGGAGATCCAGGAGGAACTGAACCGGAGGTGGATGAGGAGGCGGCGGGAGGAGAGCGGAGCGGAGGCGCAGGACGCAGAGAGCTCCGCGGAGGAGACGGCTCCTCCTGCTGTTCCAGCTGCGGAGCCAGATGTCCAGAGTCTGTCCGAGAACGAGCTCCTGCTGGAGGAGGAGAGGGTCAAAACCCAGCTGGACACCAGCCTGTACATTGGCTTGAGGTTGAAGACGGACCTGGACGCCATCAGAGGGGACTTGGACCTGAGTCTGGCACTCTGGGAGACCAAAGAGAGCGAGCTGCTGGACCTGCTCGGCAAGGTAGAAGGCATGGAGATCGAGCAAGCAAACAGAACTGATGGTGCACAGGAGGAGCTGGCTGCAGGTGGTGCTGAGGCCCCCCAGAGCTCAGAGGACAGGAGCAGCGTTTGGGTGGAGCAGGCCCGAGGTCTATCCAAGGCCTGCAGTACCAATGACGAGGACTCGGACACTGGTCTGAGCTCCATGCACAGCCAGGACTCGGACAACCCGCCTGTGTGCGAGTCACTGGTATAGACTCGCTTTGTGAGGAACTTTATGCAAACCAATGCCACAAACTCAGGGGCAGAGAATCAGTGTTGGCAGACCCCCCCCCCCCCCCCCCCCAGACACTGCGACTCTAAAAGCAATATTCTTTAAGTAGTCATTGCACAATAAGCTAGACACAACAGCATGTGTAGATAGAAGCTTGACATGTGTGCTGCTCTTTCGCTGACCTTTGACCTCCATGAGGAAAGCTAAGAAAGTACCACTTATTAGTAGAAGTACAAGAGTATTAACACAAGCTGCTTACGAGCTGTAGTCCTTAAACTGGTGTTGGATAAACCTGATCACAGGTTTACTGACAGTTTTCTTTTTTTTTTTTTTTTTAACAGCAACTTTATTTAATTAAGAATTGTTTTAGGAAGTGATACATAAATGAGTGTGCTGTTCATCCCTGAACAAATGGTTTACCCCCAAACAGAGGCTCCCACAAACAAATGCATACTGAAACTTTTAGAAATCATTAAATTACCGTATTTTTCTGACTATATGACGCACTTAAAATCCTTTATTTTTTTTCAAAAATCACCAGTGAGCCTCATAATCAGGTGCGCCTCATGTATTAATTCTGCTTGTGCTTACTGACCTTAAACCAATTTTATGTGGCAAACTGTGCCCAAAAATCTGTCAAAATGTTTCAGTTTCGCTTCAGGCGCCTTATAGTCCAAAAAATACGGTACCACAAATGGCTAAATATTTTGTAGGAGGAAAACCTATAGTCTTTATGGAAACGCATGAAAACAATGACTCTTAAAGGTACTCATTACAAAGTCTTTCAATGAACTTAATCCACACAATATTTTCCTCATATTGAAGGTGAATGTGTTCGTAAATTAAAAGTTTGTAAGCATAACTTGTGACTGGATGTCCAACTGCTGGGCCATAGAGAAATAATAAAATAAATAAAAAATCAAGTATTGACCTGTAGGGGATTTTATTTTGAAAAATAACCAAATCTGTTGACCCCCCCCCCCCCTTTTTTTTCCTGGCAAAAGCAGTGATTTTTTTTAAATTTTTTTTTTACTCCCTGTAAAACAAGTCAACCCAAGCAAAATAAAAACAAAAACCACTGGTTTGTGGAACTGTTATTTTGTCTAAAACCAGTCCATGCTGGAAATAAGGTTAGGGACTGCTGACGTACCATGTGTATTTATTCATCTATGAAAACAGCTGAAGTGGTTGAAAACAGGTGAAACGTTAAACTTACTGGACTAAAAGAAGTTTTGAAAAAAACCCCAAAACAAATAAAAATTCAAAAGCTTGTCCGATTTCACCAAATCTGTTTGACGTTTGACTGTGGTCTGCAGGTAATCATGCACCTCAAGCTTCCATGTTTTTATTTTTATGGATTCAACAAATTGGTTTATTTACATTGAATGCATACCTGCATTTCAGAATTGCACATCAATTTATATATGGAAAACTACCGTCAAACTGCACCTTGTCATATCAGGGTAACTTTATTTTATGTCCATCTTATAGCTGACAATGAGTACCTTTAAGTTCCATCTGACAGATCACTTGAGATATTTCTGATCTGTATTGTTTTTATCCTTAATCACAAATATTTTAAACACAATTCTTTACTGGTTGATTGTAATTAGATTTAATATTTTATTTTTGCAGGTCATATGAAACTTTAAGCACCATTTAAAGAAGTGGTTCTAAACAGAGAGATACAATCCATAAAAGAATGAAACATGAATATAGTGCTATATATTTCTATGATGTTTAATCATTTCATACAGAAGCAGCTATATCTCATTTTTGCTGAATTATGATAGAGACCTAGAACAATACAGTTATTTATGTGAGCCGTTGGTTCACAGCATACAACAATGATATTGTGTGGCATCTGTAAAATAAAACGGTAATACAGATAATTATTCCATTTTAGTCTTTATTTAAAGCAATATTGGAGCACAAGTAGAGGATATCTGGAATAAACAGCCCTCGGTTTGGCTTTACATCTATAAACTGTTGATCACATAATTCTCCTAGATAAGATCTTCGATTAGCTGCTCCTGCTGCCTCACTGCTATCAGCTTCCAAATCGCAGACGTTCACGGTTTGTTAGACAAACGTCAGACGAGTCTGATGGCGCTGTCAGACCCGTCTGGTGGAGCGAGGAAAGCATCAGGAATCTTATTTTCCCCAGACTGAAATCCTCCAGAGCGGAGCATCATGAGTGAAATTGGCGAAGCGCTTCTTTAAAGCTGGAAATATTCTGATAGCATCCTCTAAAAAGCTGTTTCCACATTAAGCGTCTCAGTCGGTCATAATCGATGTGAATCTAAAAGGAAATTAAACACGAGCAGCTTGCATTAAACCTGCTGCGTTACGTTTCCGACGACGCCTCGTATACAAACGTGCTGAACCAGATATTTTTGACCACTTCTCGTTTTGTTTGTACTTCCTTCGTGATACTTTTCAGGTGCGACTAAAAGGGTTATTTACAGAAACGACCTTGAATCCGAGTTCCTCCAACATGCGAGCACAAACCCATGTAAGATGCTCCTTGGTGGATCCAGTCAGAGTATCTGAACACTGTGACATTAAGAACTATTTTAAGACTCCGTTGGCTTTTTCTCCTGAAAATAAATGCTGTACGGCAGTTTCCTCTGTGCTTCCTGAGCAAGCTGGCTCCTCCGAGGCCTGCGCAGACGTCCGAACAGAAGCGGATAGGATTCACTTCAAGATCTCCTTTCAGTAGAAGCATTTTCTCAATATGTTGTGATGCCAAAACTACATGTTTGACTTTGTAAATGTTAAGCAAGAGCCTGATAACCCCTGGAGGATGCTGATGCTGTTCCTGTGACGTCACCTGATCTGGGGACAGTTTGGACTTCCCGTTTAAGATTGGTAGCTAAAGATGGGCAACTCATGACACATTCACCGTGGCAGTAAATTCATACCACTCAGCACGTTACTACATGACTGTTATGAAAATAAAAGATAAAAATATGGATTTGCGTCTGGTTTTGTTCTGTTTGACTGACAGGTATGAGTGTTTGTATGCGACACGCCTCACATCAACAGATAATTGCCTCCTTTGGTTAAACAGTCTAAACGCACAAGTTTCCATTCTGAATGGAAAGATGGTTTGCATTCCTCAAGGCTGCAGGGCTTGAAGGATGGAAGGTGTGCGTCTGTGTGACACCGTGCATCCTGTCCGCTGTTCTGTCGTCTCGCTCGTCACGCATACTTTGAGCTTAATCGCTGCTTCCTGGTCGCTCTTGCGTGAACTCTTTCATTAATTATGACAGGATGAAAAGGAGGCCTGAACGTAGAGAACGCAGCCGTACGGCTCACGTTACAGTTTTTGTAGTACATTCCTTTTTATGTTCCTTTATGTTCCTCGGGGGGGGGGGGGGGGGGGGGGGGGG